CCCCACACACACACTTACAGACATACCTGTCCCTGGTGCTGAACACTATTACCATCCAGGAACACAGATAGACATGTCTACCTGTTGCTGGTGCTGAACACTACCCCCTCCCCCCAAACAAACACAGATAGTCCCTGGTGTTGAACACGTCACGTAAACACTCTTCCTGGTGCTTAATACCAACAATCTGCTCCACAGGTTGTGCTGCAGACAAGTGGGGTCCGCTGTCCTGTACCGGTGACTGTCCCGTGTGCTACAACGGCGGTGTGTGTGACGACAACACGGGGGAATGTGTCTGTCCTCCGGGGTTCCATGGACAGAAGTGTGAAAGTGGTAAGATATATGACAGATTTGGGAGGACAAATGGGAAGAAACACTAAAGCTGTGTTAAAATGGAATACTAATAGCTAATTGAATATCGATCTTATCATAATTAACAGGACTGTGTATGATAACCATCTTTGTCAATGTTCATTCCGATTACACATTGACAGATATCTTTTTTATTTTTGCTGACAGATATATTTTTTATTTTTGCAAGCCTGTGCGAACAACAAGATCGGTACAAGCTGCACGAGAGAGTGTGACGGTGGAGACTGTAGGGGTAAGCTTCTTTGTGTGATGGATCCTTACGGATGTTCCTGCGCTCCTGGATTCATGGGGATAGAGTGTAATACAGGTGAGTACTCATGATGGCAGGCATCATTGTAACTAAACCTCATTATTATAATTACTATACAACAGAATATTTGACTCAAAAGGCAACAACATACTATTTTGTATTCACATACCAGAAGTATGAGACACACATAAAAACGTCCAACATGTCAAGGGCCTGTACACCGCATGAAATAACTCTCCTGACTTACATAGATACGACATTATACAGGCATTTTGGTCAAAGTTGCTACTTCACCAAATTGCTGTTTTATTCCTTCGAATGAATTGCACAAACCTATAATATACTCGCTGCTTCAGGTTGCCCTGACGGCATGTTCGGAGCCGGCTGCACTCAAACCTGTCATTGTGCAAACAAAACACCGGCCTGTGACAAGAAGACTGGAGCATGCCCAACTGGAGGTGATCCCCTGTGCATGGCAGGGTACGAAGGCGACAACTGTAATCAAGGTATTTATCAGTATTTCTCATCAAACGCTATAGCTTACGTTATTGATGATTTAATCTAAACAATATAATGATATTTCATTTTTATCTTTTCTTCATAACTTTCATCCAGAGTGTTCTGGTAGGTACGGCCCTGACTGTAACACCGAATGTGGACATTGTTACGAAGGTCCGATATGCAACAGGTTCAACGGAACATGTCCGACTGGAGGTTCTCACGTGTGTGCGGCAGGGTACCATGGAGACAACTGTGATCAAGGTAGTGTTGATACCTCAGAGAACTAACACGGAGCACTTTATTATCGTCTTATCTTGGTGACATATTTTCCATAACTCATCACGAGGCTTTATTCCATTAAATGGATGATTTATATATGGTTTATATATGGTTTTTATATATGGTTTTTATTGTCCAAACAGTACCCGTGCAGTCGCAGCCTTTATACGGCTGAATTGATGCAGGGTATCACATAATAATCGAATACAAATCACAACAATTACAACAATCAAATAATACACATGATACACACATATTTGATCCACAATTATTTTTGTGGAACTGTCGCAAGGGTCTGTGCGGCTGACATTCGGCGCCACAAGGTGACCTCAATATGACTTTCCCCAACTGAAGTTAGGTACCCATTCACACCTGGGTGGAGTGAGGAAATTCGTGTAAAGTGCCTTTCCTAAGGGCACAACGTCGGGGCGCATGTTCAGACATGTCCCGGGTACGACTCGGAATCGAACCCGGGTCTCCCGGTTCACAGTCTATTGCTCTAACCACTACACCACCCGACGCCACTGCGATGATTCGAGGATTAGATGTAACTAACTGAGAATCTGTCGACTATTTCAGAGTGCCCAGACGGCATGTACGGACCTGACTGCACCCAAACCTGTGAACACCATTACTGTGCAAATGGATCAACTACCTGTGACAAGAAGACCGGGTTCTGTACGGGGGGATGTCATGACTTATGGACTGGAGATTCGTGTCAAAACCGCGCAGGTACTGAAAAGTTATTTAACGTGTTAGGGTATAAGATACACGTACACGTGAATGGACCTGGTTGTAAAAAAGTTACTTTGTGGTTACATTCTGCAATCGTACATCTTGTACTTGTCACCTAGGTTTTAGTATTACTTCTTGCAAGTTATGTTGGTCAAATGTCTTACAACGCTCTCCTGCTTTAGCGACTGTCACGTACAGCGCCCTCTTCATCAGGGAGGAAGGTCGCTTCTTCGGTGATTCTGGCAATCATATAACAGCGTACGACAACATAGACGCCGAGGAGTGTGCCCGCCGCTGTCTGCAAGGTTACGACAGTTACGACGGCGTCAACCCGACATGTCTGTCCTTCAACCATCGCCCCGCGGGGTCACCAGAGGGCGGCAGTGCACGGTGTTGGCTCCGGAGTAGTGACAAGGACACGGCGGCGTCTCCTGGTTCTGAGTGGGAGAGTTGGCATTACCGAAATTACTACCAACGGAAACGTATGTACATTATACTTCTGTTTGACATTGGCGTCAATGTACTATTCTATGCTTACAATGAAACAGCTCTCTGTTGATCTCTCTAGTCCTCTCCTTCTCTCCTTCTCCCTCTTAGGATTTGTATTGGTGTGGTGAGTGAATAGTTACCACTATTGCTTTTTATATCATTCTTTTTTTCGCCATTTTTTTCAGTAATCCTGGCACCCCAAGACTGTGCTGACATGTTCGGCCTTGGGATTCAGTACAGTCATGTTTGGAATTTGGGTCACGCTCAACCGTTCCAAGCCTACTGTGACATGGACACTGACGGCGGCGGGTGGACGGTCATACAGCGGCGCCAGGACGGGTCCGTGCCGTTTGACAAGACTTGGACTGAGTACGAGCAGGGCTTCGGCAATACTAGTGGAGAATACTGGCTGGGTTTGGGGAACATCCACAGTCTGACTGAACAGAAACAAAACGAACTGTACGTGTACTTGGAAGACTGGGAAATGAACAGCCGGTTTGCGCGGTACAGCATGTTTTCTGTAGGAAATGCCAGCAGCAAGTACACGACAACGATCGGCGGGTACAGCGGGGATGCTACTGATAGTTTGGACCCGTCCGATACACGTCACAGCATCAACAACAGAAGGTTTTCTACAACAGACCAGGATAACGACGGTATCAGTACCAACTGTGCTGTTACATTCGGTCAAGGAGGCTGGTGGTACACTGAAAGTTGTGGCCTGGCCATGTTGAACGGACAGTATCTGACCGGCTGTTCAGTACCTGTTCCAGGTACCTGCTCCAGTGCAAATGGAATCGTCTGGCACAGTTGGAGGGGTTACAAATATTCCTTGAAGAAAACAGTCATGATGGTGAGGCCTGCCAATTTTTCAGGTACGTGTACAAATATTTATAATAATTACTTTGGGCGTCATTGGCTGAAGAGGCTTATGCAGTTGAAATTTAGGATGTTTCTACAGTATCATATGTCGCCTTGGTTTTCTGTCTTTATGTTCTGCATCTGTCATTATGCTTTTTGAGTGTGACCACCTTAGCCGCCTATTAAATACATACATACATACATACATTTTTAATGGATAAAAAGGCAACTGCCTGTGTGATCCATATCTGAAACCTTAAAACTATTACATTACAATAGATAAATTACAAAAATATAAAAATATACATTGTCCTCGCTAATACATGTAGTTTGGCGATAGTTACTTAAACGTTCAGATTTACAATGTTAGAGTTGTACTTATAATGTCCAGAGTTCAGAGTTTGTTATGATCAAGTTGTAATGTCCAAAGTTCAGTAGTTTGTAATATTAAACGTTCAGATTTACAATGTTAGAGTTGTACTTGTAATGTCCAGAGTTCAGAGTTTGTTATGATCAAGTTGTAATGTCCAGAGTTCAGTAGTTTGTAATATCCAAAATATCAGAGTTTGTAATGTTCAAAATTCAGAGTTTGTAATGTCCAAAGTTCAAAGTTGTAATGTTCAGAAGTTGTAATATGAAATTATGTGTATTCCGTCCCCCTCCAGTAACTGTCCAGTCTTGACTTAAAAGAGTTAACAGTGCACGTGTCTGCTGCCACAACATCTGCAGGAAGGCTATTCCAAGCATTTATTGCTCGTACACTAAAAGAGTTTGATCTAGTTAACTTCTTTGCTTGTGGTTTGGCGATTTTGTATGGATGGCCTCTGGTACGTCCATCTACGTTTAAGTTGAACAGCCGGCCTGGGTCGACACGGTCGAAACCCTTGACGAACTTGAAGACTTGTATCACGTCACCTCTTTTGCGGCGGTGCTCAAGAGTAGGAAGTTGCAGACGACGTAATCTGTCCTCGTAGCTGATTTCTCTGAACCCAGGTACAAGTCGCGTCGCCTTGTGCTGTACTCTATTCAGTAGCTCCTGGTCACCTATAGAGTATGGACCCCATATCACATTACCATACTCTATAATGGGCCGAACCATAGTTTTGTACAACAGGGGTACGGTTGTCTTGTCAAGTCGTTGAAAGCTCTTCTTGACGAGTCCCAGAATTCTGAATGCCTTGTTAGCAGCGGCGGTGCAATGCGCATGGAATTTCAGTTTCCTGTCAACGATTACTCCCAGGTCCCGCTCCTCGCTGGTTTCTTCCAACGTGGAGCCTTGGATTTCATATTCTTGGCAAGGATTACCATGCCCAATATGCATGCGTTTACACTTTTCGATGTTAAAGCTGAGCTGCCAGTCTTTGGACCAAGCTGCCAGGTTGTTAATGTCTGCTTGCAGGGTGGCAACTTCGACTGGAGAGTTTACTCGACGAAACACCTTGGCATCATCCGCAAAGAGGTGACAGGCACTGGTAATAGTCCCGGGCATGTCGTTGATAAAGACAACGAAAAGAAACGGTCCAAGTACATTAAATGGCACGGACAAGAGGGGGCAAACGGAGAAAAATAGATTTTGCAGCCAGGTGTAACATTAATTGAGATTTAATTTGAAGAGCATGACATATGATAACTAAAAACGTCAACTGTCTGTCATTTTGCCGCTTTTCCTCAGTCTCATCTTCCAAACCATGTCAGAATGGTGGAAATCTCACATCGGGGCCTGTACAGTCAGGACTATATGTCTGCGCATGTGCGCCGGGATGGAACGGACCGTTTTGTGAACAAGGTATGTATGGATTGGTTGTAACTCTATGTGGTTGAGTATACTGCGCATGTCTCTGTTGCATAAGGCCAAAGGATCAACCTATTTTCCTGTTACACTATAGTCTGTATGCAGGGTGAGTTCGGGCCCGGCTGTACAGGCACCTGTCACTGTGCCAGTGGAGGTTCTGTGTGTGACATCCGGACTGGAGTCTGCTCTAGTGGAGGGTGTGAAGCTGGGTGGAAGGAAGAAGACTGTCAGACAGGTAATGCAGATGTGTGGTGTCATGTTGACATTTTGTATTCTAACCTTAGTAAAAAGAACATGCTTGAGGCTAAACACGTTTAATACGCTTTTTAATCGTCTGTAGCCTGCTCGCCGGGTGAGTTCGGGCCCAACTGTACCGGAACCTGTAACTGTGCCAGTGGACATTCTGTGTGTAACATCCGGACTGGAGTCTGCTCTAGTGGAGGGTGTGAGGCTGGGTGGAAAGGAAGCAGCTGTCAGATAGGTGATTTAGACATGTTGTGTTATTTTGAGATTTTATATTCTAACCTGAGTAAAAAGAACATGCTTGAGGCTAAACACGTTTAATACGCTTTTTAATCGTCTGTAGCCTGCTCGCCGGGTGAGTTCGGGCCCAACTGTACCGGAACCTGTAACTGTGCGAGCGGAGATTCTGTGTGTAACATCCGGACTGGAGTCTGCTCTAGTGGAGGGTGTGAGGCTGGGTGGAAAGGAAGCAGCTGTCAGATAGGTGATTTAGACATGTTGTGTTATTTTGAGATTTTATATTCTAACCTGAGTAAAAAGAACATGCTTGAGCCTATTAAAACACGTTTAATACGCTTTCTAATCGTCTGTAGCCTGCTCGCCGGGTAAGTTCGGGCCCAACTGTACCGGAACCTGTAACTGTGCGAGCGGAGATTCTGTGTGTGACATCCGGACTGGAGTCTGCTCTAGTGGAGGTTGTGAGGCCGGGTGGAAGGGAAGCAGCTGTCAGACAGGTAATTCAGATGTGTGGTGTTGTGTTGGCACTTTAAAGTTACATTCTGGCCGTAAGTAAAAGAACACATTTGATATGTTTACAAATTGTTTTTGTAGCATGCCCACCGGGTGAGTTCGGTTCCGGCTGTACCGGCACTTGTCACTGTGCGAGCGGAGATTCCGTGTGTGACATCCGGACTGGAGTCTGCTCTAGTGGAGGGTGTGAGGCCGGGTGGAAGGGAAGCAGCTGTCAGATAGGTAATTGCCTTCGAAATCGGTTTGGGTATGGTGAGGGAGACTGGAATTATGCGACATAACTCTTGAAAACTGTGATCGGATGTTCATGATTTTTGGCATGCAGGTCACCGTAGGATAGAGAATGGTCAGGGTCGAAAATGATTTTCGTTGGGGGTTCCTACGTCACTGCAGTAGAGCTTTTGTGTCTGTGGAGTGTGTTTTTTCTTGTTCAGATAGGTGGTGTTATGTTGACACTTTAAAGTTGCATATTGACCGTAAGTAAAAGAACACATTTGACATGTTTACACATTGTTTTTGTAGCATGCTCACTGGGTGAGTTCGGACCCGACTGTACCGGTACCTGTCGCTGTGCCAGTGGAGATTCCGTGTGTAACGACGTGACTGGAGTCTGCTCTAGTGGAGGATGTCAGCCCGGGTGGAAAGGAAACAACTGTCAGACAGGTAATTTTGACGTGTGGTGTTATGTTGACACTTTAAAGTTGCATTCTGACCGTAAGTAAAAGAACACATTTGACATGTTTACACATTGTTTTTGTAGTGTGCTCGCCAGGTGAGTTTGGACCCGACTGTACCGGCACCTGTCGCTGTGCCAGTGGAGATTCCGTGTGTAACGACGTGACTGGAGACTGCTCTAGTGGAGGGTGTGAGGCTGGGTGGAAGGGAAGCAACTGTCAGACAGGTAATTTCCTTCATCAGAAAGCTCTGAAATCGGTCTGGGTATGGTGGGG